ACAATCTGATCATGCAAAAGATCCATCAAAGACTACTGGGGTCAGGTAATGAATAAAGAAGTTTGGGAATGGGTACAGGCAGTTATCTAGGAAAAGGGTATTCCAAGCCCTAAGCTATTTATCAATCTGAATGAGGAACAATAGTGGGAAATGGAAGGGTGCCCCAAGTCTATGTGTGCTAAATCCATATACCAAACTGAATGAGAAAGAATTGATGGAAGTCAAAGTGCTACAGGCCAAAGCTAGTTTCAAGAAGGTAGATCAGGTAATGTGGTTAACTCAGTTGGCATCAGTAGCCTAGGAGACCCCAGTGGCTCAGCCAATCAGTAAGAGACACAACTTGGAGTCACCTATGGCCTATAACCCCACTCCTTGGCCACTGTATACATACAAATTCCTGCTTTTTGGCCCTCAGTGGGTACTCATTTGGAAGCCATCTCTGTTCAGAGAGCTTTTCTACACTTCCTCCTCCCTACCAATAAATCTCTTGCTTCCCTGCTACTTTGGTCTTGACATTGAGTTATTTTATTGCTGAAGACAAGAACCAAAAAAGAGCCTGCCTGGGATCCTCAGACTCAGGCTGCTCCCAAATCCTAATTCATCAACATAGGTAGAAGACAACTTGAAGGTTCCCATTGTCTGAAGATGGGGAAATTTGAGCATCTACAAGAATAATGTCTGTGATGAACTGATACAAATCAAAAATATAAAAGTGCATAAGTTTACAAGGTTATTTAAAATTGGTTAGTTTTAGAGATTCCTGTGGTATCAACTCACTATTCTGAAAGTTAGAAATAGGGGAAAATTAACTTATCCTATTTTTGTAAATTTAATATGTAGGACATTGTTTCTCCCTAAATTAAACAAGATGAGTTTTTAAAACATATTTTAAATATCAGTGAAAAATGAACATTTGCTGGATATTAGCTGATTTTAAAATAATGCCAATTTATCAGATGTGACCATGTTATTTCTAAAAGTTCTTAATTGCCAGTGGTAGATATTAACATAGTTGAAGGTCAAGTAATATTTGGAACTGTTTTAAAATATTCCATGAAAATAAAAATGTGTGTGTGTTAGTAAAACAAGAATGAAAAAATGTTGATAAATGTTGAAGCTGGGTGTGAGAAACAAATGCTTTTGCATTAGTTTGAAAATGATCATGATTACAATTAAAAGCTGATTTTTTTTAAGATTTTTTTTATTCATTTATGCTTACAAGAGCTGGGGTGTACACCAGAGGGACAGGAAGAAAGGGGATTCACCAGAGATAGAGTGGGGAGCAGAACAGGCAGACCTACTGAAGTACACTGCTGAAGGGAGCAGCAGGGGAGACAGGAGAGGGCTCTGCCCCATGTATGTCAGCTCCTTTACTGGGGATAGAACTCATGCTACAGTTTCTGGTGGTAGCTTGATAGTGCTCAGACTTAAACCCTTCCACCACCACCACCAGGAAGGCCCAAAAGCCTTTTTGTTTTAAAAACGTTTTAGCATAAAGTAAACATACAAAACCACTCCCCAAAACTATGAACCACTTAAAGACAAATATAATATTTAAAACATATTTTATGTACATACATTTGGAGCAGTCTTATTTTCAAAAGTCCCTTTTGGACCCTTCCTTCACCCTTCTGCTTAAGAGTTAATCACTGAGCCCTCCCCCCCC